CGCAGGGTTTTTGCCGGTAGCACAGGGTCCTGGCCGCACGGTACCTTGTTAATGTTCCAGGCCCTACTCGGGCGTGTGTAGCCTTGGGTCGCGGGTTGCAGCCAGTTGTCTTGACTTCAAGTTAAGGAGCGAGTGGCAACCATCTCCCAGGTAAGTCCCTCTTTTTCTTCTCTTTCGTTAGGTAGCTCCGGGAGCCGGAGAGGGCTTTCCACAGAAAACCAGCGTTGCATGTAATGAAACGTCATTTTCTGGGCGAGTCCTGGAGGCTCCTCGGCGATCCTCCCTCCCTCCCTCCCTCCCTCCCTCCCTCCAGTCAGTGGTTTTCAAACTTTTGACATTCAGCCTCTGAACTAGGGTTGGATATCTGGTGTGTGGGGTCCGGCAGCTCCCCCCTTCTCCCTCCCAGGAAGGGGGGGCTGCCCAGACAGTAATTACCTAAGTGTAATTACCTAAGTGTAGTTACAGGATGAGAGCTACGCTCGTGGTGTCCCGTCTTCCCAGCACTCTTTGTCATATAACGCTTTGAAACTACTGACGGTCTTGGCCTCCACCACCTTCTCACTTAACTTGTTCCAACCGTCTACCACTCTATTTGCGAAGGTGAATTTTCTTATATTTCTTCGGCATCTGTGTTTAGCTAGTTTAAATCTATGACCTCTTGTTCTTGAAGTTCCAGGTCTCAGGAAGTCTTCCCTGTCGATTTTGTCAATTCCTGTTACTATTTTGTATGTAGTGATCATATCACCTCTTTTTCTTCTGTCTTCTAGTTTTGGCATATTTAATGCTTCTAACCTCTCCTCGTAGCTCTTGCCCTTCAGTTCTGGGAGCCACTTAGTAGCATGTCTTTGCACCTTTTCCAGTTTGTTGATGTGCTTCTTAAGATATGGGCACCACACAACAGCTGCATATTCTAGCTTTGGCCTAACAAAAGTCATGAACAATTTCTTTAGTATATCGCCATCCATGTATTTAAATGCAATTCTGAAGTTAGAAAGCATAGCATAGGCTCCTTGCACAATATTCTTTATGTGGTCCTCAGGTGATAGTTTTCTATCTAGAACCACTCCTAGATCTCTTTCTTTATCAGAATTCTTTAAAGATTTCTCACATAATATATAGGTTGTGTGGGGTCTATGTTCTCCTATTCCACATTCCATAACATGACATTTATTAACATTAAATTCCATTTGCCAAGTGGTGCTCCATATACTTATTTTGTCCAGGTCTTTTTGAAGGGCATGACAGTCATCTAAATTTCTTATCCTTCCTATTATCTTAGCATCATCAGCAAACATGTTCATATAATTCTGTATACCAACTGGTAGATCATTTATGTACACAATAAACATCACTGGTGCAAGAACTGAACCCTGTGGTACTCCACTTGTGACATTTCTCCATTCTGATACATTGCCTCTGATTACTGCCCTCATTTTTCTATCAGTCAGAAAATTTTTCATCCATGATAGAAGCTTACCTGTCACCCCTCCAATATTTTCCAGTTTCCAGAACAACCTCTTATGTGGAACTCTGTCGAAAGCCTTTTTTAGGTCCAGATAGATGCAGTCAACCCAACCATCTCTTTCCTGTAATATCTCTGTGGCTCGATCATAGAAACTGAGTAAATTCGATACACAGGATCTTCCAGATCGAAAACCATACTGTCTGTCTGATATTATATCATTTCTCTCTAGGTGTTCTACCCATTTAGTTTTGATTAGTTTTTCCAATACTTTCACTATTACACTTGTTAATGATACAGGTCTATAATTGAGGGGGTCTTCCCTGCTGCCACTTTTGTAGATTGGAACTATGTTAGCCTGTTTCCACCCGTCTGCTACGATTCCTGTACACAGGGATGCCTGAAAGATCAGGTGAAGTGGAATGCTGAGCTCAGATGCACATTCTCTCAGAACCCATGGTGAAACGCCATCTGGGCCAGCTGCTTTGTTCTTACCGAGCTCCTTGCGCATTTTTTCCACTTCGTCTCTAGACACCTCTATGTGTTCTATGTTGTTCTCTGAAATTCTTATTGTATCTGGTTCCCTAAAGATTTCATTTTGTACAAACACACTTTGGAACTTTTCGTTTAGTGTTTCACACATTTCCTTTTCATCTTCCGTGAATCTATTTCCCATTTTCAACCTCTGAATATTATCCTTTACCTGCAATTTGTTGTTTATGAATTTATAGAATAGACCTGGTTCTGTTTTACATTTGTCCGCAATCCCTTTTTCAAAATTTCTTTCTGCCTCTCTCCTCACTGCTGTGTAGTTGTTTCTCGCATCTTTGTATCGCTGGTATGTTTGGGGGTTCGGCCTCTTCCTGTATTGATTCCATTTTTGTGTCTTTCGGTCTCTAGCCCTCTCGCAATTTCTATTGAACCAATCCTGTTTCCTAGTTCTGCATCTCTGTTTTGGTATAAATTTTTTTGTGCCTTTATCATATATTTCACAAAACTTGCCATACATCTCATTCACTTCCTTGCCTAGCATCAAGTCTGTCCAATTATACTCACTAAAAAAATTTCTAAGGTCACCATAATGTCCTCTCCTGAAGTCTGGTTTTTCAACTGCTTCAACCTCCTTATTTTCTTCCAGCTTATAACGCATTGCATACTTTATTCCCAAAAAGACATGGTCACTTTTACCCAAGGGAGGAAGGTACTGAATGTCAAATATCTCTTCCTCCTTCCTGGTAAATATCAAATCTAGCATGGAGGGAACGTCCCCTTCCCTCATCCTCGTAGCTTGTTTAACATGTTGATACAAGAATGTTTCCAGGATGAGGTCTACAAATTTACAGGTCCAAAAATCTTCTGTTTTAGCTTCATATGCTTCCCAGTCTATGGATTTCAAGTTGAAGTCACCGACTATCAACAGTCGTGATCTATCGTTATCCGCTCTCGCTATAATCTTTCTCATTATTGTTATAAGACCTTCACGTTTACTATCTAGCTCCTCCTTTGACCATGTGCTGCTTGGCGGTGGACTATATGCATTTATCATCATTAGTTTATCATCCTCATAGCAGATCTCTAGTGCTATTATGTCAACTTCTTGTGGATTGGCAGTCATTATTTCCTTCACCTTTAGGTGTTCTTTTACCAGCACAGCAACGCCACCGCCTTTCCTAATTTTTCTGTCCCGTCTCCAAATTGAGTAGCCCCTTGGGAATATGACCTCATTTAAAATTACATCTTCAAGTTTTGTCTCCGTGAGTGCAACAATGTCTGGTGTCTGCAGCTGTATTACATCACTTAACTCCAGTATCTTCGATCTCACTCCATCTATGTTGGTGTATGCAATCTTCAGGAACTTGTTCCCCCTCTCCTTATTCTTCACTCCCCCTCTCTCTATTGATTTTGTTGGTTTGCCTTTATGTACCACTTTACTGGTTTGCCTACCCCTATCACTTTGTAGAAAAAAAGAATTTATTTCTTCTTCATTCCTGCTCTCATTTAAATGTTTTGCCTCGGCGAGGTTCAGTTTCAGCTTCTCTCTATCTTCTTTTGAAAGATCTCGTCTTAATGACCACCCTTTCCCATCCTCATCCCTTTGCAATTTTCTAGCATTCCTTAGTACTTCTTCCATCTGTTTGGCACCGTTTAGGGTGATCCTCAAAGGTCGATCTTTCCCTTTTACGTACCTGCCTATTCTCCTGTAGTCGCACACATTCTCTCTGTTTGTAAGACCTTCCACGAGGCCAACAATTTTATCTACTACTTTAGCTTCTTCTACAGCTCTTTCTGACCTAGATGTTATCGCCTTTTCTTTGCAGCCAAAAATGATCAGGGACTTACTCCGATCAACTGTGTTTTGCACCAACTTCGGGTTAGATGCCAATTCTTTCCTCACTTCTAGCCTAATGTTTGTTTTATCTTGGTTGCTGCAGTGTTTGACTTCCTTTACTGCTTCTTCTATTTTTTCCTTCTCCTTGGCCACTTGTGCATAAGTGAGTTGCATATCTTTCTTGCACTGTTCTATTCCCTGTGTAACTTCCTCCATCTGTGCTGACAAAAGCTGTTTCTCCTGTTGAATTTCCTTGCCTAACCTATTGTAGTCATTTATGTTTAAATTTACTTTAACTTCTTCCAAAGCTATTTTTAAGAGTTTATTTTCTTCTTCCATGGCTTTGCAATTTGTTTCCAATTGATTCTTATCCTTGCGCAAGTCTTTCACTAAACCCTCAAGACATAAAACTTTGCTATTCAAATGGTCATTACTTTCTTTCAATTTACTAATTATTTCTACATGAGAGTTCACTATAGTATCTAAATTTACCAACTTGTTATGTAGACTACTAATATCAATGCTTTCTTCATTGAATCCCTCAAAATCAAGCTCTGTTTTGTTTTTCCCCTTGCCAGTGGCCATCTTGAATGTTCTTCTCTGCACTGTAAACACTAGGGCAACATTTTCTCATCCGATTTTTCACTTCCCTTAGCACTTTCCTGTTATCTCACCTATTTTTCAAGAGCACTATACCTTTATGTTCTCTGGGACACCACTCACTACCATCAACCTGTACTACAATACTTAGGATTGTTGAAATATGCTGGAGCTCCTCTGCTGCAAGTGTTGACCCTAGGGGTGTCACCTTTTGAATCCTCAGTGGCGCAGCATCGATGATGATGTCATGCTTGCTTGCTTGTTTTCGGTTTGGGGAGTTGTGCTTGCTAGTTTGGCTTTCGTTTGCAATTTTTAACCAGCTGTAGTTTGTTTTCAGACTGCCTATCTTTCTGGGTGCCTAACCCAGTTGATGGCAGATATAGAATACTTCCAACCACATGGGGGTTTCTATAGGCCATCACTTCTCGTGCCTCTTTGAGGGAAGCCAGGTTCTGGCTCGTGATCCCCGGTAGGCTAAAACTTGATCGAATTGACTGATGCTATGGTCTAGTACATACCTATCAGCCCAGTAAGTTTCAGGGAGCCTCCAAGACTCACCCAGAAAATTGCATATCATTACATTCAACGCTGGTTTTTTCTTTTTTTCAGATATACTTGACCATCGGACAGGTCCCATCCTTACTTTTTAGTGCCCTTGTGATGAACTTAAGGAATTTTATTCTGGTGGATGTTTGAGATGTCTCACACCACATGCTTCAAATGCTGTTTATGAGGTGTATCTGAAAAATCTACACTTGTATACAATGACTACCCGAGGATGTCTTCAAAAGATACATGTATGTTTTTATTATTTTCAAGTGACTTTTTATACTTTCTCATAAAATTATGAAACATTATTGTACTTTATTTTATAAATCAAGCTCAGGACACCAAATATATTCAGTGAGTCCCTTTTTTTTTTTTTACTTTCATACTCATCAGTTGATACAAATTATTGAATGTGAGAGAAGGGTATTGTTGATGATTGTACACACTTGGAGTGATTGTTTCTATTAAAGAAAAACCGAACTTTGTAACTAAACAATATTACTGAATGTCTTGTGCTGTGTAAATCACAGAGGTGATCCTTAATAAATGTCATTATCATATGTGTGTCAAGACCAAATGTTGTTTACCAGCAGCAACATATTGTTGTAACAGCTGTGTGTATCTTGTTATTCTCTGTGCTGCTTATTCTTATGCAGGCGATGAGTCACAATAACGTGGCTAAAGTATGTTGATAAGACCACACACTAGAAGCTGAAGGGACGACGACGTTTCAGTCCGTCCTGGACCATTCTCAAGTCGATTGTGACTTGACAATCGACTTGAGAATGGTCCAGGACGGACCGAAACGTCGTCGTCCCTTCACCTTCTAGTGTGTGGTCTGGTCAACATTCTTTGCTATTATATATGTTCTTTTGTTCTAATACTATGCTTTATCTCCGGTAATCCAAATCGCTCTTCTTTCTCATCACTTTTTCTTACCTCAAAGTTATATATTGTTTTTAATACTTTTGTTCTTTTAATAATAATTTTTTTTCTTATCTTTGTTTTTCCAAACACAAATTTTAGGTGGTGATAGCTATAAAGAAAAAGCAAGCTGTCAGAATTTACCAAACAGAAAACCTTTCAGCATTTTTGCTCGTTCTATATTGGTTGATTCTCATATAATTTGCCGGTGTTCCCTGAACTGACAGTCTAATTTTAAATACTGTAATTTTATGCTTCTTTGACTGTTAAACAATCGATCATCTTGATATTTAGATATCAATATCCCTGATATTTATATACAGTGTCAATATTAATGTCTCCTTCAGGAGATATTAATATTGAAAGGAAACATTTTTATTGCTAATCATAAAAAAGTGTCATGCTTTTATATACAGGGATACGAGTCTATGAGAATTATGGAATTGGAAGCTCTAGTCAGTTAAGTTCTAGTGAAGAATACAGTTAAGGCAGTAAAAGGATTTCTATTTTTTTTATTTAAATGAGGTTTTGTACGGAAGGAATAATCAAGTTTTAAATTTGGTTGCTCCAAAATATAGAAATTGGCTATAGTTCCTCACAAACTTTGCTGTTTTTGACCAAGACAGTAGTATTTTGAAATTTACCTATTTTCCAGTACATTACAGAAAGATTCAGTGCTGAGTAAACTTAGGGTAACTCTATAATGGGACCAAGTGTCCATCTCCTCTCCTGGTTCACTCTGTGCACCTTAGAGAGGATTACAACACCATCAAGACCTTCCTGGATGCATTGAAGCATGATGAGTATGGCTGGAAGGTCATCAGAGACTTCAAAATGGTAGCATTTATGATAGGTCTTCAAGGAGATTTTACCAAGTTTTCCTGCTATCTTTGTCTTTGGGACAGCAGGTGATAACACTGAAAATGTAAAGATGCAACTTTGCATGTTTTCTCATTGGACATAGGTAAATTTCACCATATGACTGTCCTAGTCAGAACAATTTTGGGAGGAATAATAGCCATTTTCCATACGTTATAAAGGTGACTTAGCAATTAGGAAATAACACCATCCAGGAGCAAATATTTTGTTACATTATGTTATCAATATGGTAAGACTTTTTAAAAAAAAGCAAGAAGCAAGGAAATACACATACAGTATTTAAATTATAAATTTAACTTTTGTGCTGTATCAACTTTTTTTTTTTTTTTTTTACAATTTAGTTATTTTAAATAGTTTAATCGTTTAACAACCAGGTACTTATTCACTGCTGGGTGAACAGTGGCTACAGTTAAAAATTGGCGCCCGGTCAATCCTCCCCAGTAAGGATACGAACCCAGGCCAAAGAGCATGATCTTAATTGGTATATTTTGTTTTCCTACATATAAAAAATATCCCATACATTCTTGGATGATTATAATTTTGGTATTTGTGGCAAAATGCACTTGAGGTAATTACCTAGGTGTAATTACCTGAAGGTGACCAGATTCTCTAACCACCTACTGATGTGGTTAAAGCATTCGTACCATTTAATCATTGTTAGAGACCTCTGATTTGTTCTTTATTTCACAGACATTTCATTGTACTTGAAGTAACTGGGTTTATGGTGTTTTATTTCTTTGATTTGCCCAATCTATGAAACTGAGGCTTAGTGTCAGTAATTTTCATCAAAGACATTAGTCTTGCATAAATGTCTTCCAGCAGGAGTACTGCTAGGATTGCTCTTGGTCATCATACACACTGAAATGGGACGTTTCATAAATACTGTAAATGGATTAATCGATTGCTTAATTAAGATTGTTTTGGAACAATCGTGAAGAAGAAAAAATGAATGTAGATTAATTTAACTGTGATGTTAAATTGTAGGAAAAAAAAAATCTTGTCAGTGAAATATGGCATGTAAGGTGTACAAAAGTGGTAATATGAGCTGTACAAAATTTGACATTCAATTTGTCTGTACAGTATTCATATTGTTAAAGTTACCTATTACTGTATACAGCATTTTCATGCTGTTTAATCACATGTACAGTAGATGACATTTTAATTATTTTTCGAGCTTCATGCTACAGTATTTCAATTCAGTGATAGAATTCATTAAAATCTGCATTTTTATATTAACATTGACTAATACACAGCATGATTGTCGTTATATACACTCCGCAGAATACCTCAAGCCATCATCAGGAATTGACCAACCTTATTCATTTGTGGAGCTCTAATTGTTGCATGGGCAAATATTTTGTTCTGTATTTTCATCATTTGTCTTTATTTTTATTGTGAAGGAATTCCAGAGCAGTGACTGGGAGAGAAAATCATAATCACTTTAAAAAAACATGGTGTACAATCATAAGTACAAAGCCATTGATTTTTGTACATGTCGACACAAGTAAGCAGTTACTTTGTTATCAATTTTTTAAAGCACATATTCATATTTTTTTGTAAAACCTGTATTGGTATCATAGAATATGAAGCAAATATAATGTTCAAATAGGATAATCATATTATCTCATTATTATTAAGTGGTAATGATGTTAGCTTTTACCTTTTTACCTTGCAGTATTCAGTACTAAAATGATCAAGAACTGAACCTTGTGTATTGAGAGTTTTCTGTAGTGAATGGTAAATTTCCTGAATGGGGATTGAGTGAAATTGTATGAAAGAATATACATATAAATGTACACATGCAGAGGTGTGAGCATTAAGAACATATTATCATATTTTTAATTTGTTTTTATAAATGTTTTCTGTAGAAAATTATTTCAAGGAAAGAATTCAAGAGATAGTGACTCGAGGATACGTGGAAATATGAGGAGTCCATGTAGCCTGTGCCATATTTCGTCCATATTTTGATAAATCAAACTGCTGTCCTTACAGCGTACACATGCTCTGAACTCACTTGGAAGTTAGTCACCTTAATGCATCAACAAATCATTGCAGGTAAATAGACATTTCGTAGACTTAGCATTAGCCCAGAAAAGTGCATATAGGCTCAATTGTTTTTAAATTATATAAGATACATAAATATGGATACAAACTGTACGAAAATAGTATTATGTGAGCACAGTGTAGTTCGAATGAAAATTATTTAAACCCTTATTAGAGGTGGAAATCAAATGTTGTTATACTAGATGTGGCCAATACAAAATATACAAATTTCTTACCAGTATGCAGTATTAAAATGTGATACAAAGGGCTCTTTCTTGTATAGATATTTAAACAAAAATTATGGCTGGGTATGAAAATTATGAAATTTAAGTAATTGTACCTTCATATTATAGTGATGAAGAAAACTTTCATATGTTTGCCTTGTCTGGTTGCATGTACACTATAGTGCACTGTGATGCTAGTTGTGGTGAGGGACTTGGCATTAAGGTTGCATTAACAAAGTTTTCTTCACTTCTGACATGATGAGTCTCAGTAAATGTTGTATAGTGCATTTGCTTTTTACTTGATAATTAGAATCAAGGTGCAATTATATTAAGATAATTTTGAATGTACTATACAGTGCTGTATAGTCAAATGAAGTAGAACTTAAACTACTCATTTTCTGTACAAGATGAACTCAAGGGTCTACAAAGAAAATTTGTGGCGAGTGCTCATCTGTCAATCACAAACACTGCCAATGAATAGATGTGTTTACACACAAAACATTGAATAGAACAAAGTGTTACACCTAATTAACCTGAAGACGATTTAAGGTGTTACTGAGCAACCCATCCTCAAGCCATGTTCGTCCGTGCTGCAGCTGTCCCCAAAGGCACATACATTAATTACTTAATATTGTACTGTAGTATATTTTTGGTTCATTTAGGCCTCCGGCCAAGTGTTGGAACCAATTAGGTTTTTCAGCACTGTGTTTTCTCCAGAATATGATTTACCAATTGTTTATCATTCTGGTCTCAGGTACTGGCAAGTGCACAAGGGTGAGCACAGTAACAAATGCTGCATTCCTCTCATATGGTGTAATAAATAAAAAAATTATCTCATATGAATTAATATTATACTGTACAGTATACTGTGTTAGTTTTGCACATTGATCTAGGTAGGAATGGGTAGGCATATTGGCTCTGTTGACCATTATATGCTTACAGAACATGGATGGAGCATTTTGTGAGGTGCATTGCAAACACAGTAAGTGACTGAAGCACTTTTGAAGAAAAGTTTGAATGTAACTAGTTGTCGTGTTTGAAGTACAGTGCTAGTATAGTACATTTCTTCAAACTTAGATTGCTACTACATGGAATGGATTTGGTTCTTTTGTTTTGAGGATGGGCTGCATAGAAAGTTTGTAATGAGTATGTTCATTTCGGTTGTCTAATGGTTAAAAAAAATTATTTAAAAGTTAGTCAAAATTATTATATTTTGAAGTAATGATTGAAAGTTTACAAATGATTTGTTAAAATACTTGTTAAAAATTAGTTTGAAATAAGTAACACTGTATTTCCTCTTTTATGTGATGAATATAGTCATTTTTGGAAGGGCCACTCTACCTTAATTAAACACTGGGTAACTGAGCTTTAGACCCTACACCACACCTCCATCCTTCACCTACCATTCTTCATGCGAAGGGAGCCTGAGGATCAGACATAAACTCAATGCCGGGATGAAACCCACCCAAAAGCTCTGGCACAACAAAA